TTCAACTGTCAAATCCTAATAGGCGACCAACTATGTGTTCATGTCAAATATAATCGACCATTGAATGACCTAAGAAACTCATTTCTTCTTTCATTCAATTGCCCTAGCCAAGGTCTTAGTTTGGTCGTTTATAATTCATGACAATATGGAGCTTAAACTCATTACCAAGAGTTGATAGATTCCATCTTGATCAATCACTAATTCTACAAGTATTTAACCGTACTCAATATCATTTCAACTATAGCCCTAGGGCCATAGGTGTCTAGTATCAAAGCACAATAAATAACTTGTCAATTACTATGACGATCTCAGGTCAAAGGAAACTCTTACATCACATCCTTCAAGAGAATATCCTATTGACAGTTTATGGTAATTCTAACCACTAGGAATTATCCAATGAGTCGGTTCAATGATCATATCTCTATATGCATCATCTATCTCTGTGATTCATTTAATGAGATCAACTAATCTTTATCTCATAAAGACAACCACATAAATATTGATCTAACCGGATTACTAATGTCCAAATTAATAATCCTATGATCAAGAACAAATTTAGATTGAATTATAAGAAACTTTACTCGCATTATCATGATCTCCATCATGATGACAAATCTCAAAATTTAATCAAGGACCTTATTAAATTAATCAAGTAATTAATAATAACTATGATAAAAGAATATCAAATGCCATATATATTTTATATCAAATAATATTCACAAAAATATGTTTAAATCATCAAATATGAGATTGGATCTAGGACATATCTACTATATCCCTAACACAGCTTTTATGCACCTCTATTAATTTTATTAAGTATTTGTTATCTCTCACCGATACAGATATCGTATAACTTTGTCCACCAATGCTTGGACAAAAATAAATCACTTAATATTTTCTTGCTTCCGTTGTAATTTGAATCTGTGACCTCATGATTCTCAATCTATTTTATTGATCACCAGGCACACCTTTAAGTGTGAGCTTGCACTTGCACTCTTGTATTTAAACAAAGGCTCATAATATAAATGTATGGATAAGAATTGCATGGAATACAGTTTAAGTGTTTATGGAAGTATCAGCTGCAAATAACACTGGATATTTCAAATTCTTGAGTAAAGGAAGAGAATATAAATACAAGCAGGGCCGGCTCTAAGGTGACGAAGGGTAAGGCAGGTGCCTTAGGCCCTCAAAAATTTAGGGGCCCCATTTTTTAAAAATAATAGGTTTATAGTTATTTAAAAAAAATTTAATACTTTTTATACAAAAGTAGAGTTCTTAATATAAAAAAAATAGAGCTCTTTGGATATGTAAATAAAGTAATAATTTAACATATTTAAAAATGGATAGATGAATAGTTTTCTCAACGTTTCAGTTTTACTCCTTTATTAGATAATGTATAAAAAAAATACCCTTCCTTTCTTAATATGCCAAGTCAATCTTTCTTTTCTCCAAGATTTCATTATTTACTTTCTTTCTTCAAAATTTCATTAGTTCCACTGTTCACAAATACTTTTAAGCTTCCAATAATTCTATACTTCTATTGCTTCTATAAAATCTTAACTAAGATTAACAATATTTTAAAAAGATTAAATGAATTGGCTATATTATCAGTTAAATAAGAATAATTAGAAAAAATCGATTATAAAAAAGATTATTAATAACTTTGTATTTCAAAAAGCTAGAAGAATGGACTTCAAACAAAAACATATATTATAACTTTCTTTTAAAAATTTAGGCCTCATATTAAACTTTGGCCTAACCTTCCGAGCAATTGACCAAGCCTTTTTATTCCCAAAACACTAAGTTTACTACATTTATGAGTTCATATATGATAATTAGTGAATTACTGGCACAAATCCATGATTAAGAGACGGGCAAATGTGAAGGCACTCAATCTCATCTAGAACATAATTTGTTTAGGTATACATAAATCTGATTTGATAATTCTCTTCTCAAATAAAGGTATTGTATGTTGCTTTGGAAATTAAAGAAGAAATTAAAAGGAGCACAACACATAGCATTTTTGCATACACGTGATTAAGCAGGTCACACTAAACATGAGATTGCTTTCAATGCAAAACACTCTTGTTATTTCGACAATTAAATCACACATAGGATTGAAGTGAAGAAAAGTCAAGATAGAGGGGGAGAGGGGAACATCAGAAAACCTACGAAAATTTATCAGAAAACCTGGGAACATCAGGTCTGTTGACCATATTTGTAGTAACTCCGCGAATATGTCAATTCGTAACATTTTGTCCGGGATTTAGTACTACAACAACAACAACAAACCTAGTGAAATCCCACGCATGAGGTCTCGGAAGGGTATTGTGTACGTAGACCTTATACTTACCTTATGAAAAAAGAGAGGTTATTTCCGATAGACCCTCAACTCAAGAACAGTGAAAAGGACATAATAAACCAATAATAACAACAACAACGTAATAAGACAACGGAAGCAATCATCCTGGATTTAGTAATGTCTGGAACATTTATATATCTTCAGTGTTACTTCTTTTTCCATATCAGTTAATAACTTACTAGACAGGCAAGTTGAAATTCATGCAAGGAAAATTACAGTAAAGGAAAGAACAGAAAACTGGGACATAGCTAGCCAAATTTGCAAACAAGTTCTAGTTGAAGTGGAATTACATATTTATTCATTTAACTTAACAAATTGTACAACTAGAGACCAGACTCCTATATACAACCAAAATTCTTATGAGATGAGAAGCGCCAGCACAGCCCTTCAAACAAAATACCTAAATTAATCTCTCTACAAATACAAACAAGCCACCCCATCTTCAATGAAAGGGTTGAAGAATAACAATGGCTTATAAAGATTGTTGTGACATGTACCCAAGAACCTGCAATCTGATAACTATTTGCTGATGTACCCTTTGTTTTGACTATGATTTCTACAACAATGCCTACTAATAGCAGATCTTCCCATTTGTCTATGTCTTGATAGGCAGAATTACCATGTGTCTATGTTGATGAGAGATAACATGTATCCTGTGGAATAGTCGAGGTATGCACCAAGTAGAATATACACAAGTGGCACGGGTAACCACAATCTACATCTCAGTGTCCATTTGCATAAACAACTCTCTCCGCGGCCAATTTTCTTCACCATCTGATGAGAACAAGGAAACAGATATATCAGCCAGCTTCTTTCGGCTCAATCGAGACCTTGGAAACTTCGATGGCCTAGGAGCATTCGGCGCTTCAGCTTCATAGGAACCACTCCAATTCTCCATATCAGTAGCCTTCTTGAAACCAACAGTCTTTCTTGGTGTGTTATATTCAAAATGCCATTTTTTTGCAACCAAAGTCTGTTCATTTGATCAAACAAACAAACAGCTTATCAATACTTAAACCAACCAACCTTATTCAATTATAATGTAATGGCAGTTCAATAGTAACTCTTACAGCTTCTCTTATTGCCTTTGATACATGAAACAACCTCTTTAGATCATCATGATCAACTCCACACACTATCCTTATCTGCAGAATAGAGACAGTAAGCACACCTTTTTCAACAATGCAATCCAGTGGGGAAACTTCACAACCAAAAACTTCTCATAAAACAAATGTAAAGGAAATAATGTGGAACTGAATTATACACTATTTTACACCATTATAATTGTTTATGTTTTCCTTGAGCCGAGGTCTATTACAAACAAACTTTTTACCTCCATAAGGTTGTCATACACCCTAACCTCCGCAAACTCCACTACGTGGGGATTACACTCGGTGGTATGGTGTTGTTGTTTTTGATTTGACATCATTATAATATGGGTCAACCCATTTTCAACCCACCCATTTATCACGACCTAACCCATTTTTGACCGGCATGAAAGATGCGAATTGGATATTGACCCGTTTTGTTCAACTCATCAAAACCCGCCCCGCCCATTTATCACCCAACCCCATTTTGACCCGCATGAAATATGGACAGATCAATGTTGACCCAGTTTTATTCAAGCCATCCAAACCGGACCCAACTCGCTCATTTTACACCTCTAAAGTACTGTAATGGACAATTGGGAATCAATAAATTTAAGTACATAAACAGTCAGATACAGTAAATTAAGTTAAATTTCTGTACTTACCAGAATATCTTGAGGCAAGGCTTCAAGAGGAGACTTCACATTCAAAGAACTGGAAAATGAATTCTGAGTGCAGAGTTTCTTGGTTGGTGTTGTACAAATGAAATCATCAACATCCACAATTTCAGGCAAACAAACCCTTTTTCTACCAAATGAAGTACTTCTCACAAGCCCTGCAAATCCAACATTTTCTTCACATTTCTTCCTCATTGCCATTTTCTTGAACTTTTCACACAAAACCCAACTCCAAGATCTGATTTTTTGCACCAAATCACACAATAATACCAACAAATATTATCCAAAATACAAAACCCAATTTCGAAAATGAACTAATTGAGATGGGTCAAGTTTAGTTTTTTATATAAAGACAGTTTAAAATTAAGTATGTAGAAAGGATTTTTATCTTGGCTAAGCAAAAGATTCTTGGTTAAATATGTGAGGGGAAAAAACTAGCCGTTGGAGAAGTACACGTGGCAAAATGGGACAAGGAGAAAAGGAAATAACATGGGTGGTTCAGGTTGATATTGGTAGATTGGTCGGTCCAAGTTGGATTGTCGGTTGGCTTTACCTAAACACGTTCTGTTCTTTGTTCGTAGACATATGTTCAATTATTTGTGTTAGATTCATTTTACATGCAAATCAAGGAAAATGGACGGTTGAGATGATGATATGTCAGTTTGGTGTAGTCATTAACGGTCAGGATCTTTTGTAAAAGATAGTCAATAATAGATCCTTCTAGGATAAGTATTCTAAAAGAGTGGGCTTTAATGGATGTAGTGACGGCTGTGAAGTTTTTCACTCGTGGGGCCTAGGAAGATGCATCATTGGTTAAATTTAATTTTGGGGTGGTGTGGGGGTTGGGGGTGGGGGTCAAAGTAGGTCAACGCGTTTACATGATATGCTCGAGTTATCATTTATCAATGAAGGTTGGTTTTCTGTTTTACTAATGGTGGTATTTAATTAATTATTCCCTCTGGTTAACAATAAATAATAATTTTATTTTTTTATTTTAATCCAAAATAAATATTTATTTACATAATTAATAAAAAATAATTTTATTTTTTTTAAAAAAATTGTCCTTATTTATATATTTCAATATGTCAAGGTAACAATTAATTAAGCTTAATTTAGTGAATACTTTTTTTCTCTATGAGTTCGAATTTCTTTAATAAGTATGCTAAAGGTACAATGGTCATTTATTATGAACCGAGGGCAGTAACAAATATTTTAACTATTTTTGAGATCTTAAAGAAAAATTACTTCTTCCAATATTTGCTTTCTTTTATTATAAGCATAAATGTGGGTGAAATTTTTGCTAATGGCTAAGATGTTCAGTGGACTCCCGTGCTAATTTGTGGGGTCCTGACAGTTTAATTAGGGGTTAATTCCGGGAAATTTAACCAATCAACTCTGGGTCGAGCTTAATGAAAAGCCAATTTTATGGAAAAAAAATTCAAGAATTTTACTTTCTTGATTTCTGCTTTAAAGATAATTTTAGCTTGTCTACCAAGATTTTGATAGATGGGAATAAATCATCTTTATTATTTTTTGTCTTTATTAAAATTTAAATCTTAATTTTCGAAATTGTGTCTATTTTATTGACAGTTAGGTTAAATCCTTAAATTTGAGATTAGGCCTTTTTTATGGTAATAAATGTAAAATACTATCATTACTCATAAACAAAAATATAACACATAAAGATCACGTAACATCTTGGCCACCAGTATTCCAGGAAGGTTACCAAGAATAAAAGGCCTGAGATGAAATAAAAGAAAAATTAGGTACAAATTTTTTGAATAAAGAACTCATATTTACGTGCATTTTTTGGTTCACTCATTTCCACCTTCTTTCTAATATCTTTTTGTATTTTTACTTTATCTATTTTCGATGACTGACAAGTAATATACAAAATCACTCTTTTGTTTAGAATTTTAGATCTATGTCATGATATGAAACTAGTTCATAAGATAAACGTGTACGAAAAGGGGTGCAATATTTGGTTTTACCGCAGTTGTTTGTTGAATTATTTAGATCAACTCCTACCCTTTCCTCTATTTTCTCCTCCAAAATAAAGTGAAGTTACTCTTTTTTTTTTTTTTTTTTTTTTTTTTTTTTTTTTTTTTTTTTTTTTTTTTTTTTTTTTTTTTTTTTTTTTGGTTAAAAGAGGATATCATATATGGCTAGATAACAAAAGATAATATAGCAGAGTCATTGCTAGGGTATTGTAGTACCCCCATAGTAGTAATGGTATGCATAATTGTGTCTATATTACAATTCACAAAAGTTTTAACCAATTCAGTTCTTAGAATGTCTGCCCAAAATATATCATTAACAAATATCGGAGGAACTGATAATATCCTAGACTTGTTCAAAAAGACTTCTTTTGCTACCTCCTTGGTCAATGCATCAGCTACTCTTTTCTGCTCCTGGTAGGCGTGCTTCACTACCACCCTGTCTATCCTGTGAATTAGTGACATGCATTCACAAATTAAGGGATCGTAAATAAGGCTTCCTTTCGTTAGCATATTAATAATTTCAGAGGAGTCAGTATTGATCTCCAGAGGAGCCAAGTTATTTTGCTCCGCGAGTTGTAGACCCCTTAGGAGTGCCTGCAATTCTGCCCTAGTGTTTGTTATGTGAGGGATGTTATCCATGTACCCCATTATCCAGTCACCATTGTGATTCCTAAATACCCCTCCTGATCCTCCTATCCCTGGGTTCTCCTTTGCTGCTCTATCCGTGTTTAGCTTGTAGAAGCCCCTGCTTGGGGGCTCTCATTTTATTACAATTTGATGTGTTATTTTGCTAGATCATTTGTTGTAAGCACAAGGTATTCAATAGCCTTGGAGATTGTATTTGTGGAGTTGATGTGTTCCTTTTTTTTATTGAATAAATTGTTGTTTCTAGTTAGCCAGATGTGCCAGAAGCAGAAGGGAATAAGGTTGTCCTATAGGATGTTGCTATTGAAAGGCACATTTCTGATTGAGTTCCATGTTGATGGTCATTGAATGCTGGAGTCTGTTGTGAACTGTCTCTCGTAGATTTGGACAATATTTTATTCCAGAAGTGGACAGCATTAGGGCACTCAAAGAAGATATGGTCAATAGTTTCCTGGCCATTGTTACAGTAAGGACATTGGGGGTCACAGTTGATCCCAATTCTATGGAGGTAGCTCTTAGTTGGAAGTCTCTTATGGGTGAGGAGCCAAATGAAATTCTTGATTTTGTTGGGAGCTTGAAGCTTCCAGACCCATTTCAAGGAGCCTTCCTCACTAGAATGAAGGCTGGTGTCACTCTTGCTTTGGAAGGAGTAAGCAGAACTATTTGTGAATTGGCCATTCTGAGTCAAGTTCCATATGAGGTTGTCTTCCTTAGTTGGAGCTGGGGAAATAAACACTGAGTTTAACAGATTCAGGATACTTGGGGGAAGAGCAATAGACAGAGAGGATGTGTCCCAAGTTCCTAGGTTGTGGATTGAGCTAACCTTAACATTGAGGTCATTTTGGTTTAAAGGACCCTCAATCAACTGGCTGATTGTTGGCTGATTGGGGATCCATACATCATTTAAGAAGCTGACCTTGTTTTCCTTGTGAACTACTCATCTGCTTGCTTTATAGCAATTATCCCAGCCTCTTAGGATGCACTGCCAGGTTGTTGATTTTGGATGTCTAGGATATCTAGAGGCTCTAAGTATACTAGCATTGTTGGACATGTTACAGTACTTATGGATTAGAACTCTTGCCCATAGATTGTTGGTATTTTTGTAAGTCCTCCGGGCAAGATTTGTACGAGAAGCTTTGTTTTTAAGACTAGCCTTTTGGAGTCCTAGACCTCCATCAGCCTTGCTCTTTGTGACCACCTCCCACTTAATTAGGTGGAGCTTCTTCTTTTCAGGAGTGGTGCCCTAAAGAAAGTTCCTTTGGATTTTGTCAATCTGTTTGGTAACTTTAGTGGGCAGGTTGATGTACTGCATGACATGGCTGGGAATGCTGTTTAAAGAGGTTTTGGCCAGTACAGTTCTGTCAGCCATATTTAGGCAGTTTTTTTTCCAACCAGCCAGCTTGGATTGCATGTTATCAATGATGAACTGAAAGTCTGCACTTGTTTTCTTTTTATGGAAAATGAGGAAACCAAGGTATTTTCCAAAGGAGGTGGTGTGTTGGATGGTCAGGGAGTTGGTGAGATTCTGTATGGAGTACCGTGGGGTGTTTAAGGAAAACAAGACCCTTGACTTTGCAAGATTTATTTTCTAACCTGATTATTCATTGAAATTCTGCATAATGGAAAGAATAGTGTTACAGTTCCTGTCATTAGCTTTAGCAAAGAGAGTTAGATCATCTGTGAAGAAAAGATGGGATATTTGTGGACCTGATCTGCTTATACTTATGGGTTGCCACTGATTATCCAGAACTGCCTTATCAATTTATCTTGATAATCTTTCCATGCGCATTATGAATAGGTAGGGAGACATTGGGTCTCCATGCCTGATACCTCTTGAAGGTCTAATGGTTCAATTTTCCCTCCATTGACAAGAATATAGATGGAGGATGAACTGATGCAGGACATAATGAGTTTGGATAAACCTTGGGGGAAGTTGAAAGCAGAAAGGGTGTCTCTAATAAAGGACCATTCCAGCCTATCAAAGGCCTTTTCTAAGTCAATTTTGAGGATCATATTGTCATTCTTCCCTTTTATTTTTCTAAAGTGAGTGATGTACTCTTGGACAATGATGACATTATCACAAACTCTCCTATTGGAAAGGAAACTGACTTGGCTTGGCCCAATAATGTGAGGCAAGATAGGCATTATTCTGTTCACTATGATTTTAGTGACTGACTTGTAAATTGTGTTACACAGTCCTATTGGCCTAAAACTTTTTAACATTGAAGCTTGGGGGCATTTTGGGATGAGGCACAATAGGGTCTGGTTCATGGTATTACCCATAGAACTTGAAGAGAAGCATTTTTTTATAGAAGTTTGTGACAGAGTCACCAACTATGTCCCAGTATCTTTGGTAGAAGAAGGGGTGGAGGCCATCAGGGCTAGGAGATTTAAAGGGTTTGTAGGAGAATACTGCCCTTTTTATCTCACTCAATTCAAGAGGTTTGTCCAAGAAAGCTTTTTGGCCTTCAGACAAAATAGGAGACATAGTGGAGTGGTTGGTGAAAGCCCAAAGGGCTTGGGAGTGGGATGTGGTATATAGATCAGTGAAGAAGCCCAATATGGTTGCTTGGATATCCTTCTGGTCATGGAGCCAGTTTCCATTCTCTTCTTTAAGAGAGAGGATTCTGTTCCTTCTTCTTCTATTGAGGGTGGAGGTGTGAAAGAATCTAGTGCTAGCATCACCCTCGTTAAGCCAATTTATCTTAGATTTGAGCTTCCAGAAATCCTCTTCATTTTTTAGGATTAAGTTAAGCTCAGTAGTCAAATTAATCTCAATATGTAACATGTAATTACTGAACTGGTAGTTAGGAGATCTATGGATTCTAGAAATTCTTGCTATGATTCTTCTCTTTTGGTAGAAGATGTTTCCAAATGTTTCTCGGTTCCACTTGGTGACCATTGTTTTGAAGGAATCAGTGAATTGGAGGAGGTTGGAATGATCAGAGAATGCCCTATTGATGATGTTAGGAAAGGATGGGTGGCTAGCCCACATTGACTCAAACCTGAAAGGCCTTGGTAGGTTATTATTTGGAGACCCTACCAAATTAATTTGAAGGGCACAGTGGTCTGAGTGGGTCCTAGGGAGGTGCAGTACGGTTGCTTCAGGGTACTGCTGAATCCAGCCTTTATTGGCGAAACACCTATCTATTCTTTCTAGAATTAGCGATGTTTTATTACTGTACCTTTTATTAGACCAAATGTATTTAATTCCTTTATAGCCAAGGTCTAAAAGATTGCACTCATTTATAAAGTGCCAGAACAAATTGCTACGGATAAGGGTTATGGGGTTGCCTCAAATTTATCCCTGGACTTTAAGACTTCATTGAAGTCTCCTCATACAAACCAATTGGTTGTGAGGTTCTTTGATATTGTGATTAGGTTCTCCCATAGGAGCTTCCTATTAGCTAAAATATTGCTAGCGTAGATAGATGAGAAGAGCCATAGAGGGTGGTTAGGACTCACCTTTACCATTGCATGGATGCCTTGGGTGGGTGGCCACATCTTTGACAGCCACATACTCTTCTTTCCACATAAACACTATTCCTCCAGAGAGACCTACTGCCGGTGACTGGATGATCATATCAAATTAGAGCTCTTGTGCCAACTTCCGGTGGTCTTCCATCTTAGTTTCAAGCAGAACGAGCATGGCTGGCTTGTGAATCTTCACCATTTCTAAACAGTGCCTCTTGAAATCGGCATTGTTCCCACCCCTAACATTCCATATGATGTAATTTATTAGAGGAGTTGGGGGTCGTTGGCGAGGTCCCTCTTGAGGGTTCCTTGATCCCTGCGGACACTTTGTTGGAAGTGAGGGGGATTTCCTCTTGAGACTTAGTATTGGGGTCAGATTCAGCAGGGGCTTAATGGGACCGTGGGTTTGGATAGAGACCAGACTCATTCCATACTTGACCATCGATCTGGGACAAAGAACAACTATCACCTTACTGGTTTCTGTACTGAACTCTATCTCTCTCACTAAGTCCAGTAGGAGCGAGTTCGTTCGTGGTGTGGCATATGTTTCTCTCTCTTCCTCTGACGTGCTTTTCTTCTTAAAGATTTCTAGGGTCTTGGAGATTCCTTTTTTGATATTGTGGAGAGGGGGTAAAATGCTCTTCTCTCTTGGTGCAGAAGATGATGGCATTTGTTGAGTCTGATGGTCGATCATTACGGAGATCGGCTCCACCGATGGATCCTCTGTCGTCAGATCTGGGAAGAATGGTAGGGTTTGGAAGCTCTACAGCATGTGGCTGCTGAGTGTTTGGGGTCGGTTATTGGTGAGTTGTTTTCTCTGTTGACCATCGACTGCCATAGGAGAGGCCCAAAGGCTTCTAGGGCTTTGCTCAAAGCTTCCACTGTGACTCTGGCTAGGTGAGCTGGATTTTGTACAATCAAGGTCACCTTTTGATTGCCAAGGGTGAAATTGTAGGAGAGACCCTGGCCTTGAAGATCTACCTCCAACCAAGAAGCTGGTTGGTGGTCCGGTGGTGGCGGTAGGGAGGTAATGATAGTTGGTGACAGATCTTTTTCCATTTTTGTGTTTTTTGGCATTACTACTTTGGGTAATGAAAGGGGTTATCTTAAGGGACTGGCATTCCATCAGTATTCCCTTTAGTGTCAAATCTTTATCAGTAGAGGGGTTACTGGAAATTGAAACTAGGGGTGGATTGGTCATTAATTGTGGATCTATTAGAATTGACGGTTTGAGTTTTTTCATCTGGAATTGGGAGTGGTACCATATAGGGCACTTGATTGTTGGTGGCGACTGTTGATATTTCCTTAATAAATATTGTTTCTGAAGGATTGGTAGGGGAAGCGTAGGTGAGTGTATTTGGGGGGTTAGATGGGCTGACAATTGCGGATTGGGAGTGGTACCCATTTGGAGAAGAGAGACCGACCCTATTGGGTATCTCTTCATCTTTGAGATGAGAGACCTCAGAAGTTGGGCTCAAAGTGGCGCCTTGAACGAGGGGTTTATGATTGGGGTCAGTGGAGTCCTTAGGCCCTAGCCCCGCCTTCCGTTTGGTGCTTGTACTGGGTTGGGCCCGTGTAGTGGGTGGTGGCCGTTGTNGGGTTGACCTTTTTTGAATTGTAACGCAGAGATTGAGTTTGAAAGAATTTACCTGAGTTAGCATCGAACAAATTTACTTGTATATGGTCTGCCTGTAGAGCTTGGTGTGGAATATTCAATCCCGCGCCATGTTTGTTATTTGATTTTGCTAGCCCTTGCTTTATTCTTCTTGGGAAGGTGACAGTTTTCTACTCACTCTCCCCCGTCTGCACTATATTCCTCTGTTGTGTTTTCTGTGATTCTTGAGTTGTTTTGGTGTGGAGGGTCGGTAATTGCAACCTACTGCAATATGCCCAATTCTGCCGCAAGAGATGCACCGAGTCCCTTCTCCTTCATAGATCACTGCCTGTTTATGGTCTCCTATTATGACCGATGTTTCCACTGGGGTTTCCAGTGGCACTTGAATACAAATACGGGCATATCATTCCCTGAGAGTAGAGGAAGTGCATTGGTCGATTTTTAATAGTTTGCTCAGCTTCCTTCCAACCTTTTCTATGATATCCTTGTCATAGAATTCTGTTGGTAATTGTGGAAGCCGAATCCATATGGCCGTAGAAGTAAGGGTGGCTTCTTGAGGAATGAATTTAGGTTCCCATTTCCGCACAGACAAGAAATTTCCGGAGATGAACCAAGGTCCAAGGTGTAGTGCCTTAACCATACTCTCTTCTAAACTAAATTTGACTATGTAGAAGTCTCATCCTAGGTCAATCAAGATTAACTGTTTGGGTGGATTCCATAGTTCAATTAGTTTAGACCGAAGGAAATGGTGTGGCATTTTTCGCTTGAAGACCTTGATAATCACGGAGTAACGCCATGGAAGGTAGAGGCACTTCTTATCGTCTTGGGAAAGGGTATTGAGCCTTCTATGTGTTTCCCTTTATCGAGATCTAGATTTGGATGGGAGTCATCTTTGTAGTAATCAGTTTGATGGCTCTCCGATTTGTCCTAGAGCATTTTCTTGTAGAAGTGGGTTGGTTGTATTAATTCTATATCTATTTGGTTGTGCTTATCTGGAGGTTCCGGTGTGAAATGTGGTTTGATTAATGGGGGATCCATGTTTGGAAGATATTGTTTCAAGAGTTCTTTTGAGAAAAAAGATGAAGCTGAATCTAAAAATATCTATTCACTATAGCATTAAGAATTTGAGCGTACACAAGTACTCTCGCCCAAAACGAAGTAAAGTTACTCTAAATTACTCCATTTTTTACTCCCAAAATACGTATTCTATTTTATATTCTTCCTTCTCTTCAATATTATTATCTTTTATTTAAATTTTATTTTTTATTTCTATTAAAGAAATTCTATCTTTTTTTTACATATTCATCACATATAATTTATATTCTTTTCTTATATAATTATTTAATATAAAGTTATTTTATACCATAAATTTTAAAATAATATAATTTGTAAGCAAATATTATATATTATATATATTAACGGATAATTCAAATAAAAACGAAATCATTCATATACAAGATAATTAAATACATATTATATTATGGTAAAATTCAGATTAAATACTACATAAATATTCAACTTTCACTTCTTATGCTCCGATAACTATTAATGCATTACGAAGTGCAAAATGAGCATCTTTGTCCTTAATTCTTTTGTATCAAGCTAAAAATTGTTCAAATTGGTATTTTCATCTACAACCATTTCTACCGTTAGAGGTTCCCAATCATCTTGAATTAGTGCATTAAGATCACGCTCCTTCTCAATTATTATATTGTACATTCCCAATGGTCCCTACTAAGTTATTATGCTATTTACCGTAGTTTTAATTTTTTTATATTTTAATTTAATGCATTTTCAATTTATTGTATTTCTAATTTTAATGTATTTTCATTTAATGTATTTTTAGTTTTAGCAACATCTAATATTTTATATTCGCGCCTTTCAATTTTAACAACATCTAATATTTTATATTTGCACCATTTAATTTTTGATATGATTATATATTTTTTGTACAATTATAATTTATAATAACATTAACTTACAATTTTACATAAAAATAATAAATGCACGAAAATTAATTTATCAAAATTATATGCCAAAGTTAAGATGCAAAATTAATATTATAAAGATATTATATAAACATAATTAGGTATATATAAAGAGATCAATTAAAAGAATTAAATAATAAAAATAATAATAAAGTAATAGAGAATAGTAATGGAGGAGGTAAATAATGTCACTCCAAATTTGTAGTGACATTATTTAATATAAAAGTATTTTATACCATAAATTTTTAAATAATATAATTTGTAAGCAAATATTATAGATTATATATATTAACAGATAATTCAAATAAAAGCGAAATCATTGAGATACAAGATAATTAAATACATATTACATTATGGTAAAATTCAGATTAAGTACTACATAAATATTCAACTTTCACTTCTAGTATGCTCCGGTAACTATTAATGCATTTTGGTAGATAGGGATTTTAGAGAGTCTGTGGTAGAGGGTAGGTGGGTGAATGATAGACTAATGACTATTAAGTTGGTGGTTGGTGAGTGTACTCTAAATGTCATCAGTGCTTACGCGCTGCAAACAGTCTTGGATGAGGAGGTTAAAAGGCGCTTCTTGGAGGGGTTGGATGAGATTGTGCATAATATTCCGCCTGCCGAGAGGTTATTTATAGGATGGGATTTCAATGGGCATATTGGGTTGTCTGTAGGTGGCTATAGTGAGGTGCATAACGGCTTTGGTTTTGGGGATCGGAATGGAGGAGGTACCTCACTCCTAAATTTCGCTAAGGCATTTGAGCTTGTGATTGCTAACTCGAGTTTTCCAAAGAGGGAGGAGCATTTGGTTACTTTTCA